GTCTTGCAGCCACGGGCAGTAAGAAGGAACTCGGGGGTGTTTGGGCCCACTTTGCCTTTTCTGGCTTCAATACGAACTATGAAGATGCTCAGAGTGCATGGGTGGCCCCAATGCACATTTCTGCTAAAAGATTCCAATCTCCAGTGCATGCGCACCCAAAACCGGAATACATATGGACAAATCACTGGAAGAAAGATCAGCTTCACTGCAGCTGCTCAGTACCACGTGGGCAGCAATAAATGACAAGAATGTCCATTTAACTCTGCTGATGTAGTTTAGGAAAGCTGAACAGCAGCAGAGAAGAGAAACAACAGCTCAAGAAGTGGATGCTGAGGGAGGGTTAGAGAACAGACCACACCACAAGCAGCAAGGAGGCCGAGAAGGGGCAGAATAAATGAGGTACCCTCCTGTGAGCCAAAAGAATGGCAGAGCACTGGACCCAATTACTCCAAATACTGTAAAAGCTCCAGCGTGGCAATGACTGAAGGAGAAATGAGAATGCTCCTTTTCACTTCCACTGCCATTGAGGTGGAAAGGATACTTTCAGCATCAGTCACCTGACTAGCTAGATTAGGGGTTCTCAAACTCCATTGCACAGCGACCCCCTTCTGACAACAAAAATTACAACAACCCCAAGAGGCGGGACTAAAGCCTGAGCACCACTGCCCAGGGTGGAGGTGGGAGGAAGCCAAAGTCCAAGGCTTCAGCCCCAGGCAGGGGGTCTGTAACCTGAGCCCTGCCATCCAGTGCTGAAGCCTTCTGGCTTCAGTCCGGGCAGTGGGTCTCGTGCTTTGTCCCTGGGTCCCAGCAAGTCTAAGCTATCCCTGATGACCCCATTAAAATGGGGTTGCGACCCACTTTGGGGTCCCAACCCCCAGTTTGAGAAATTCTGAGCTAGAAGCAGATAAAAGAATAATGCCTTGTCTACACTAGAAAAGGTTTGCCGATATAGCTGTAAATTATAGCTATACTGGCAAATCTGCCCACGGTAGACGCAGCTTATACTGAGAAATGTATTTTTTTTTTTTTTGCTGGTATAACACCGTCTACACTAAGGCTTTTGCTGGCATAGCTGTGTAGGCTGGGGTGTGGTTTTTTCACACTCCTAATCAACATAACTACGACGGCAAAACTTAAGTGTAGACCAGGGCTCAGTACACCTCACCAGCATTCAGAGTAAGCAAGAATATCAGCATCCTTCTCCTTCCTGACAGGCAGGTGGGTTATTAATTAGATAGTGCCCCTGGATCTTGCTCTCATTTTGAATGACAACTAATAAGTTTAGGGCTGTGAAATAAGTGTCTGAAAACTTTTCAAACAGGATACTCATAATATGGAAGATTAAGAATTAATAAACCTTCATTCAGACAACTATTCAAACTAACTGCAAGTGAGCTCTCCCAAAATTCTTCCCCTATCCTTTTATGTCTGTTTACACATTACTCATTTTATTATTTGAATTTAAGAATTATACCTTGGCAAACACTTTATCATCTGTCTTTTGGAAACCAAGGTATACATTTACACTTAAGCAAAACAAACAAAGACTGAATGAATTTAAACAGCATCCAGCTTTCTAAAGAGACAAATATTTCACTTTTCAGAGAAAGAAGTTTGACATTTCATCCTTGCAATGTTAACCATATTGTGTCTTCACATTTGACCCACTCTGCAGAATCTGATCTGAAAAAAAAGTAGAAGTCAAACTGTTTGTTGGTAAACTAGCAGCTACAATAAAGCTTTCGTGAATAATAGCTGGAATGATCTTCTACTAGATTAAACCTGAATGAGGTTTGAAAATCCTAAAAGGTTCTGGTGAGGTGGTTGCTGGCTTTGAGTCAGGTATGTACAACAGTCATATATTCTTCTTACTAAAAATAAGTTTTTACTAGAATTTTTAACAGAACTTTCAAAGGGTTATTTTCATTAGTAAGCTTCTGCTACAATACATATATATTTTTTTAAAATATGTAAAAGTTTACAGTAGTTACTTCAAAAGATTAATACCTTTAATATTAGTATTTAACATTATGGAGTCACCCAAGATTGTTTGCATATGGTCAACCATAGGAATTGTTTTAACACACATCATTTGCCTCAACACCCACACATTATATGTCATCTGAAGCATTCTGTAGCTACTAATTCGTCTAATAGTTCTCATTCCACCCTCATCTAGAGGAAAACCATTATTTCAAAAACCTTTACACAAACAACTGTCAAATCTACAGTGTTGCATTTGGCAAGTTATATTTTAAAACTCCATACAAGCAATGCCTTAATCTCAAAAAATGAAAATTTAGTTAAGGACTGGTTTATATGTGGAATGTCCATGCTAACGAGTATGCAGGAGGAATTCAGGACGCAAGTTTTAACTACTTTTTAAAAAATTCTCTTATTATTTTTATTCAAGTATCAGTTAAGAGACCCCCGAGAAAAACAAGGCAAGGTAAGTCATTGTCCCTGCCCAAGAGCTTTCCATCAAACTAAACAAGGGATGTTATAACATAAAAGCACAGTGAATGAAGTGATGGTTTGAAAATGTGGTTAGTTTCAGGAGGTTTAAAATAATTATTGGGTGGCTTTTAGTTATTTTACTTATGCTTGTAATTCTGTTCACACACACACACACACACACACACACACACAGTATTATAGGGCAGAGTGGGTGGGGAGGGAAGGTATTAGATGAAAGGAAAAACAAGGAAGAAGGGACATTCAGGAATATTTTAAAGGAAAGAACAGAGGATCATGGTGTACGAAGACCAAAATAAAGAGACTGAGGGAGGGTGGAAGAAGAGGGTTAAGGCAAGCAGTTTGCCAAGTAGCAGACAAGAAGAAGTGACCAGAGTAAACATTGTACCAAGCATAGTCTGATGATGTCAACATCTGAGGGTGCCTGCAGATACTGCTTTTGTAACTGCTCCTGCCATCATGAGCATCTGCCCACAGGACAACTCCTGCCAGAAGGTTCTCCCTTCTGAGCTCATATGGCTGGAGGAGGAGTGGGGGTTCCGTGGGAGGAAGTTTAGGTGTCATCTCCCCCTTAGCCCAGAACTGGTATATGTGAAGAAACACCTTTGGTGTGTCTTGATTCAATCAAAATATTCAGGATACATCACCACAAATACCTATTGTCTTTTTCCAACACATACTCTCTATGGTACTTGCGAAATCAGATATTTCTAAGTTCTGAAATACCTTCAGTGGACCAGGAAGTTTTTAGACAATTATGGAAAGGAATTTTTTTTTAATTAAAAATACTTCTCTGACGTATGGCCCTTCCATTGATACAGTTGAACACATTTTTGGGCTCTATTTTCGTGTTTAACTTTGCTGTAAATCATAAATTACTAATAGAAATTGATTAGTTAGTGGAGAATAATATTAATTGGTTAACTGAAAACTGAATTGTGCAATTACAGTGCACACAAATTTAAGAATTTATTAAAAGATTATACTGTGCTTTGAAGTATTAGTCCAATTTTGCAAAAAGGAGAGGTTACTTACCTTCCACAGTAACAGGACTTCTTCGAGATGTGTGCCCCTATGGGTACTCCACTTCAGGTGCACATATACCCTAAGTGCGTTTGAGCTGAGATTTTCAGTTGCAGTGCCCATTTGGCCCATGCACGAGCTCCAGACCTCCTCACGCCCCATATCAAGGATAAGAACTGCTCCCAGTTCCTTCTCTGCAAAGTCTCTCGAGATGAGACTCAAAGGGGAAGTAGTGGAGCATCCACAGAGAAACAGGTCTCAAGGAACTCCAGTTACTGTACAAAGTAGGTAGCCTCTCCTTCTTCGAGTAGTGTCCTGAAGTGGGTGCTCCACTTCAGGTGACTCCCAAAATAGTACTCATGGCAGGAGAAAGTGACCTTTGGAGCCGAATTTAATACCAACAGGACTGCCTTGCCAACAGCAGCATCTGATCTGGAAGCATGTACTAGGGAATAGTGTTTGGGAAAAGCATGAATTCATGCCCAAGTTGCAGCCTTGCAAATTTCTGTAACTGATACATTTTTCAACAGTGCATGGACTTGGATTGGGATCTTGAAATAAGGGCTGTTTTAGAAGGGGGCTGAATGTGACCAGTCTAATAACAAGAAAGAATACATCTGGATACATACTTTTAAAGTCTGCGTAGAAACTGGGGGTCTCTTGGATTTGTCCACAAACAAGACAAACAGTTTGGGAGACTTTCTAAATAGCATTCTATGTGGACAGAACCAAACTAATGCCCTTCTAACGTCCAAGCTATGGAAGGCAACTTCTTCCCTGGTCTGGTCTGGCTTCAGAAAAAAAAAATGGAATGTGACTAACCTGGCTAACGTGGAACTCAGAAGACATTTTAGGCAGATGTGGCCGTAAAGATACTTTTTCCTTGAAGAAAACTGCCAAGGGAGGATCTGCCATTAACGCCCCTATAGCTACCAAGAAAGCTGTCTTCAAAGACAGGTGTAGCAATGCACATTTAGGCCAGTGGTTCAAAGGTGGGTTTCATTAGGCAATTAAGGAACAAGTTCAAAACCCATACAAGTGTGGGCTCTCTAAGCTACAGAAGAAGGGTTAATCAACCCTTGATGAATCTATCTGTTGTGGGGTGGGCAAACACTGAGAAACCCTCTCTGGGGGAATGAAAAGCTGTAACTGCAATCAAATAAACTGTGATGGCACTCACAGAAAGACCCAACTTTTTAAAATTCAACAGGTAATCCAAACCAGTAGAGAGGGAAGAGAGAAATGGGGAGAACTGCTGCTGGATAGACCAATGGTGAAATCTCTTACTTTTGCAGGTGTTTCTCCAGACGAAGTGGAGTACTCATAGGGACGCTACTCAAAGAAGAACATTAAATATATTGTAACAGTTTATTGCAAAAAAAATGTTAAGTAGGAGAAATAGTTTTTAAGGCCTTCACAGTTATTGTGCATTAGGAAAATGTATGCCTTGTGTACTCTAAGTAAAATCCATATGTTGAAAACTGCTGCTTTAAAAAACCTACCTTCTTTTTGTCCCTCATTGAGCCCTTTCCTCGGACCATTATCTTGCATCCTGTTTCTGCCTCCAGCTGTTTAGCTGTTAGTCCTCTGGGACCAAGGATTCTTCCCACAAAATTGAACTGCAATAAAGGAGAGGAGGAGGAAAAAATCTTTACTTTTTAAATACAGCGATCACAAAACTATTCAAAAATCTATCAAGATGTATTAACAGCTCTCAGATGTTGCATAATATGTTGCATAAGAGCCTACACTAAATCCTTGATGTAACTGAAGACAAGAAGGCTAACGTTTGTGGACTAAGTAGATCAAATGTTTGTGTGATCTTCAGGCTAAAAAGTAATTTCACTATTTTCTTACATCCAAAGTCATCTCTCAATTTACCAAATTAAAATCTACAGTAATCCCTTCCTGAAACACCCCTTTCCAAAATTCTTACACATTTACTGAATACAAAAACATGAGAGAATAAAAACAAATAATTTAAGCAACATAAAATGCTGAAAATATATACAATTGCAAAAAATGAGTAAACTTCAGTTTTTAAATAGAGAAAAGTTTCAGCAGAATGCTGGGCTTATCCTCTTTTGCATGACCAGGCTCTAAGAAACAAAGATTTTTATTCTATTGGTCCACTACTAGCTTTACACAGAAAACGGCCAACAGAATTTTTGGTGTGCTGCAAGATTTAGTCACAAAGGAGGAAGATTTTACACATCAGTTTTTACTCAGTTTAGTGTTTGTGTTAAGTGTTCACTAAGAAACTGACTGCCATCAACAAGGGATGATATTCTTTATATTACTGTTTATTAGATTAATTGTACTCAGCACTGATATAGCCACATACTGGTTTCTTAAAATTAGTTCCACTCTTAAGACTGAAATTCCAGTTAACTACATATTCAATACATCATGGAATTTATATCCATATAATATATATGAACAAGGCTGGGAATATGTATGAAAACCTATTTAAAATAGTGTTTATTTCCCAGACCAAAAATAAAGTAAGAGGGAGTTAGGTTGAGAATACAAAGCAGTATTTTAGGGTAATAAACATTACAGGAATGCTGAAATTATCTCTAAAACTAGCTATAAACCAAAGGAAATTCAGAGTACCGTATATACTTGTTCATGAGACAAATATTTTTGGTAAAAGAGTGATGCATCAAAGAGCGGGGTTCAGCTTATAAATGGGTCTACACCAAAATTTGTTAAAGTCTATGGAATCATTTAATTGAATATCTAAATACTCCAGGTAAACAAAACGACAATGTGTCTTGCAGGCATGGAGCCCCTCAGCTCCCTGTGGCTGCGGTTTGCCATTCCCAGCCAATGGGAGCGCCACTTCCCACAGCTCTCATTGGCTGGGAACGGTGAACCGCAGCCACAGGGAGATGAAGGGCTCCATGCCTGCAGACACTCCAGGTAAACAAAGTGTCCCGACCCGCCAGCAGCTTAGCCTGACAGCCAGGAGCCAAAGTTTACGAGCCCCTGAAATATAGGTCGGCTTATGAAAGGATCATACAGTTTTTGCTATTTTTACCTAACCATCTTGGGGGGTCGGCTTATACTTATACAAACAGACTAATGAACGAGTATATACGGTAAATGTTTGTTAAATTTAAAACCAATTTAAACATCAAGATAAAGAAATGTATAGCATGGGAACCCAAACAATCTAAATCAGCCCTGCCACTGGCTCTCCCTAGAATGGATAGACTATTTACCTACCTAACAGGAATGTTGTGATGCTTAATTAATATTAATAAAGTGCTTTCAGATCATCTGATTAACAAGATTCTGTAAGTGCAAAGTAGCATGCATTACAATATTTGTAATAAGGGGAAATAACACTGAGTTGATAGACTACCTACAGGTGTAAATGAACATTATATTAATTTCACAGCATGTGGGAGGCATAAATATTAATTCATTTTTTGTTTATTTTCCACTGGTTAAGACACTGACCATAATTACTCTATTTAATACAAAAACAAACACCGTCTTGCCTAAATGTCAAGCTGTTTTAGAGTGACTTTACTATGGGGAAAATGTTACCACATACTGTTTTGTATACTGTTGAATACAGCAGATTTCTAACAACACACATTATCAGGAATTCATTTAGTTTTTACAGCTTGTAAGCTTTACAAATTTTATTTAATCTTAAAATAATTTTTGATCTGGTACTGATGCTTTTGACCATTTTTCCCCTTCTATAAAGCATGTGAAAGGAGTTCAGATAGATCTGATTATTAAACTAATATACAGTAAAACCTGTTCCTTTAACATGTTCAATCTTTTGATAGGTATTAGTTTCTTTTTAATTTCACTGCAATACTTTTTTCTTCATTGTACCCTGGGCATTTGGGAACACATTAAAGGATATTTTTAACACATAGGAAGAGAAGCTACCATCTGGCCCAATCTGAAGTATAAACCTGAACTGTATGTCCTAATTTTGTACATTATTCTGACAGCCCTTCAATGTCACTGGTAAGTGATAATTTTACTTGTAAATCATTCAGGTATGTTAAATAAGTGGAAAACTACCATTCAGCAGTGAAATCCCTCTCTGTGTTCAATGCAGAGGAACAGCAATGAGAACAGAAATAGGAATAGAAAAATGGAAATACAAGCAATGAAACTCTTATGTGCTACAAAGAGGTTTAACAGATGTTCAACTATCACAAGGTACAAATCACAGCTACTTTTAACAAAATACCAAGACACACAAATGCATTAAAGTTTACACAGATCTGATGAATATTGCTGAAGTCTAGTTTTTAACATCTTATAATTTTAAAAGATCTTAGCTGTGCACTTGTTCTGCAGTCACCTGCAAATCCACACACAAAGATATTTAAATTCATAAACAGCATGCTGAAAGTTATTTATCATTGATCAGGACACACAGGTGAATGAAGACAGTCAGGGATGGATTCAAACACCAAGCTTCTACTTTAACTCCACACTGGGCAGGGGCTCTATATGCCCACTCCACCTCTCTTCTTACCCTATCACATAACAGCCATTTAATTGAGTCCAGTGTGGGGTTACAGGGCTCCCACCAGAAACTCAGGATAGACACTCCTTAGTCTGCCCCTACGACTCAGCACACTTCTAAATCCTGTCATGCTCTTCCCACAAAGGGGGATCGGAGTCTGCAAAGACTTCAGGTCTGCCCTTTTCTCCCAGAGGTACAAAATCTACCAATAAAATCTTAAGTCTCTTATCCTCTAGGAGCTGACCCTTTTATCTTTTACCCACACTGGACACTGGCTGCAAACTGCGACAAACTAAACATTCCTATGAACTCCCAATATTAAATGACCAAATCCTATTCTTTTTAACCCAACCATGCCTCCATGACAACTTCAAGGAAGGCCAAGAAACACCGGGCAATTGCCAATTTGGCAAAACAGGAAAAATTCCTTCCAGTTAAAGGGGACAAGAATCCCCCAAATCCTAAGAATAAGTTCAAATTAATGGGGCCACTCAGCTCCCAGCTCTTTCCCCACTGCCAAGCTGGCCAATGGGAAGCAGAGAGCCCAAGGAGGAGGGCCCCAGATCTGCATTCTCAGATATGGATTCTCCTTCCCTTCTAGGCCATCTCTCTCACTGCCAAGGCAATCCATTTCTCAACACACTACTGTCTTCCTCAGTTCCTGCACTGAGGGGAATTCTCTCCCAGCCATTCCAGCCCCTTAATGCCACTCCAGCCCATCTACACAGCATAAAGGAGCTCGAATAGGAGGAGAGTCTCTCCCCTTACAGACAAAATATGGACTACATTAAAGGACTGAAGCAGCATTTACAGACTTCGGAAAGTTGTGAATGACGTACCCAGAAGGCAGCATGATCTAGTGGGACCAAGGGAAAGCACACAGAGCTTAGAAATTCTGCATACCAGTTGAGGCAATGCTTAGAGGAGACAATGGGAACTTCAGCATTGCCAACTCTAGTAATTTTAATTGTGAATCTCAGGGTTGTTTTCTTATAGACCCAGCTCCTGGAAACAAGTGATCAGGTAAGAATCATAAGACTGGAAGGAACCTGAGGTCTTCTAGTCCAGTCCCCTGCACTCAAGGCAGGTTAAGTAATATCTAGACCAGTGGTTTTCAAACTTTCCTGGCAACCCAGTTGAAGAAAATTGTTGATGCCCACGACCCAAAGCAGCTGGGAATGAGGGGTTCAGGGTGCGGGAGGGGGCTCTGGGCTGGGGTGCAGGATGATAGTCAGGGCTCTGGGGTTTGGGGTGCAGGGGGAGTTGCAGGTTGTAAGGGGCTCAGGTGCAGCGCACAGAGCCCCGTGGCACCCCTGCCTAGGAGCCAGACCTGCTGCTGGCTGCTTCCGGGGCACAGCGTAGTGTCAGACAGGTAGGGACGACAAGTTTTTACTGGCCGGCGACCAGGGTTCCTGGGTGCTGAGCAAGGCGACCCAGTGCCTTGCATTCCGCGACCCAGTACTGGGTCGCGACCCAAAGTTTGAAAACCACTGATCTAGACCTTCCCCACTCTTAAAAATCTCCAATGACAGAGACTCCACAAAATCCCATGGCAATTTATTCCAGTGCTAAAATACCCTGACAGTTAGGAAGTTTTTCCTAATGTCCAACCTAAACCACCCCGCTGCAATTTAAGCCCATTGCTTCATATCCGATCCTCAGAAGTTAAGGAGAACTATTTTTTTCCCTTCTCTTTGCAACAATCTTTTATGTACTTGAAAATTTATGTCCTCCCTCAGTCTTCTCTTCTCCAGACTAAACTAACCCAGTTTTTTCAATCTTTTCTCATAGGTCATGTTTTCTAGATCTTTAACCATTTCTGTTGCTCTTCTCTGGACTTTCTCTAATTTGTCCACATCTTTCCTGAAATGTGACGCCCTGGACACAATACTGCAGCTGAGGCCTAATCAACGCAGAATAGAATGGAAGAATTACTTCTTGTATCTTATTTACAACACTCCTGCTAATACCTCCCAGAATTATGTCTGCGTTTTTTGCAACAGGGTCACGCTGTTCACTCATAGTTAGCTTGTGATCCACTATGACACCCAGATCCCTTTCTGCAGTACTCCTTCCTAGGCAGTCATTTCCCATTTTGTACGTGTGCAACTGACTGTTCCTTCCTAAGTGGAGTAC